AAAACACAAAATATATGATTTTCTAATTAAAAATGATTAAGGGCCAATTGCTCAGTGGTTAAAGGGACTACCAAACCTACTGGCCTGAGTGTGATCCCTGGGACCCACTAGGTGGAGGAGAGAACCAATTCTCTAAACCCTCTGACATCTACATGTGCCCTCTTCCTCCCACAAATAAACAAATAAATACAATTGTTTAAGTTATGTTGGTTGTGGCAGATCATGACTGTAATTCCAAAACTCCAGAGTCTGAGGCAGGACAATTACCTTGAATTCACGACTATCTGGTGCTACCCAGTGAGACTCTGTATCAGAAAAACAAAAACAAAACAAAATTCTTTATAAAAGAAGGTCATGAAATTGAAAGGGGAACTAATAGGACCAGGGATGGAGGAAGAGAAGGGAGAGGAGGAATAGAAAAGATGCACAGGATGAGAATATAGTATATATGAGTAATGAGAATGTCGTAAAGAAATCCTTTGGTGCAAGTAATATATGGTAATCAAAGCTTTAAATATCAGCGTATTACTTAGACAAAAGCCACAGGTCATTGCTGTAGAATCAAAATATAAAAGTGTTACCCCCCTAAAAAATGTGGGCCAATATCATTTATGAAAATAAGGGGATTGGCAAGATGGCTCAGCGGGCAAAGATGCTTGCCACCAAGCCTGGTGACCTGAGTCCCATCCCTGGAACCTATACGGTGAGAGGAAAGAAGTTATTCCTGAAAGTTGTCCTCTGACCCGACACACAAGTCATGGCATGCACACACACACCCATGTACACGATATCAATAAGTAATCCATAAAAAGAAAACTAAGTACGCATGTTAAGATCTTAGCAAACAGTGCACCACAGCAGTGGGAGACTTCTTCCAGGAATGCAAGTGTGGCCAGCATTAGGAAATGCATAAATGTAATTTACATTATTTTAAAAAAATATTTTATTTTCCCCAGTACTGGAGTTACAGATGATTGTCAACAACCATGTGGATACCAGAAAGCGAGCCTGGGTCCTCTGGGTCCACTGGGCCATCTCTATCCAGCCCTATTTTTTTAATCATTTTAAGTTGTGTGTGTATGCTCACTGTGAGTGCCAGTGCCCATGGAGAGGATCCTCTGAAGCAGAAGTTACAGATGGTTCTGAGCCATCTGACATGGGTGCGGAACTGAACTCAGATCCTCTGCAGAAGCAGTGTGTTCTCCTAGCTCTTGAGCCATCCCTCTAGCAAAGAAGGAAATTAACAAGAAGAAAAACACCTAGTATTTCTTAAGCTTTAGCAGCAACAACTAATAGAAACAGAAAAATCCCTTAAATTTAGTAAGGTTTATTTGCCAAAACACCAATAAAGCCCTAAACAAAAAAAAGTATACTAAGACCTATCATTAAAATTGTAGTGAATCAAGACAGAAGCAATAGTGCCTACCATGGGCGTTGCTAGTTAATGTCATCTGGAAGGTTCTGACCAATCCAGGAAGGTGAGGAAATGGAGTCAGCAGAATGCATGGTTTTGGTAAGGAGATGATTGTCCACCATGAGATCCTAGTAAGGGAAAACACAGATGGAATTGGCACTTGCCAATGATTTGATAAGATGAAGATACGGAATAAACAAACTCACAAGGTATTCTGTGCAGGAACAGTAAGTCCTATGAAATAGAGTGACTTTGCTCATAATAATGACCTAATACTTAAAAAAATGAAAGGCATAGAAAAATATATAACATCTTATTGAACATCAAGTGATGTTTGAATAGATGCGTTAACACACAACGTTGCTGAACAAGAACTCAGGTAAGAAAAGGCTAGTTCTGTATTTATCTTGATGCCTTTCTGGTGCCCAGTTGGAAAATTAACAGGGATTATAGACAAATCATGAAAGGCTGTGAGTGAGCCACAGTGTCCGTAGGCCAGTGAGGGTTGAGAAGCCAGCCTGTGCTGTGGCTAGTGCCTGTAACCCTACACTGGGGAGGCTGAAGTCAAGAGGACTGCGATGAGTTTGAGGCCAACCCGACCTACATAGTGAGCTCCAGATTGGACTGGGCTTCAGCGTAAGACTCTGCCAAAAAGCAAACTCAACCAAAACAAAAAGATCCAAAAATCACGTGTGTGGGACTAGAACAGCCTCAATGCCGAAAGATAAATAAACCAGCGTATACTTTTGGGTTTACGATAAAAGTGAGATCATAGCTCTACATTGAAAAGCTTTAACACATGTTGGCTTCGTTTTTATCCAGATAGAAGAAAATAAAGTTTGGCAATCTATCCTTGTGCCAAATACAAAAATAAATTTCAGATGGATTAACGCCTGTAGGAGATGAAATAAAAAAATCTCAGAAGAAAATCTTTATTTGGTATAATTTGTAATTCAGTGGAAATAGAAGTTTTAACCAAGCCAGTAAGCTATGCAATACACATATTTTTTTTCTGGAGTTCAAAAAACAGAAAACAAAGTCAACTGCTGTTTAGCAAATAATGTAATTAAAACCAGCAATGGAGAGCCCGGAGAGATGGCTCAGCTGGTAAAGAGTGCTTGCGCTCTTGCAGAGGACTGGAGGTTAGCTCCCAGAACCCACACTGTGCAGCTTACAAATGCCTGTAACTGCAACTCCAGGGGTTTTTACAGAGGTGCACACACACAGACACGCACATGCACGCATGCATATGGGAAGGGGCAGAGACAGAGAAAACGATAGAGACAAAGTAAAATAGGAGTGTATTTGGGGAATTATTTACAAGGAAGATGAAATATAAGGGATTAGCGCATTTCATAAATAATGTGCACTTGCAAACTAATAAGAAGACAGATTTTATGGAAGAATAGAATTGAACAAGCAATTCACACAAATAAAGGCAGGAAGTTCCTCAAACTGAGCAGTAGGTGAGGAAATACACCAAGAAGGTCCTTGTTCATACTTAAAAGATGGCAAAAATTCAAGTGAACCGCATGCTTATTTTTGCTTTGGAAGGAGGTAGTGAGCAAGAATGAGTTCTTAGACATGGCTGTTATGACTTCAAGTGTTGGGGGATTTGGGAAAGTGGTGTGGTAACATCTCTGTCTCTCTGCCCCCCCCCCGGCTGTGTGTGTGTGTGTGTGTGTGTGTGTGTGTGTGTATGTGAATGTGTGTGTCAAGAGAGGTTATTGGTTCTCCTGGAACTAGAGTTGCAAACAGTTGTGGGTTTCTGGTTGGGATGCTGGAAACCTAACTCTACAAGAGCAATAAATGCTTTTAATGACTCTCCCCTCCCTTTCCACTCCTCCCCTCCCCTCCTCTCTCCTCTTTTCCCTCTTCCAGCCCCCTCTGTCTCCTAAAGATACAATCTTGCTCTGTTTCTCAGGCTCTGTTACTCAAATTCACAGTAAGCCTCCCTGCCTCAGCCTCTCAAATGCTGGGATTACAGGTATGTGTCCCCATACCCAGCAATGACCACATTCTCTATGAGAATGTTCATATGTGCTGGTAGTTCTATGAGACTTTAGAAACATCTCAGAGCTTACACTTCAGCCCAAGGAAAGAAAAAATACAAAGGAAACTGCACTGGCATCTCCAGCATGTGAAATGTGTTTATGTGAAAATATTTTATTTACATATAAATAGAAATTAGAAAAGGATCCATATGTCTTGGTTTTAAAAAGTATTAATGATGTATCATCAGTGTAGAGAGTAAAAAGCAAGTGACAGAGATCTGTTTTCTAGGCTTCAAGTTTGGGGAGGGGCAAAAGCCTTGGCTCATGTGAACATCTGCAGACATTTGAAGGATCAGCAGCAGCAGCAGGCTGCTACCTCCCTCCCCTGCTTGGGTGAGGGACAGGCGGCAGCGGGAGGTGAGGAGGCTAGTTTCTTTATATATGTCTTTCCCTTGTTTCACAAGTTTGCCTTGAACTGTTGTAAAACACTTGAGAAGGAGAAATTTCCAAGACCCACGCCAACAAGTAGGTTAGTGTTATCCCAAATCCGTTGAGATGAGTTCCCTGGACACTTGGTAGAACTCCAGGATCTGGGTTGGTAGAGTGTTTGCCTACATGCATGAAGTCCTGGGTTCCATCCTTAGCACCGCATAAACTGGGCATGGTGGCGTGCATACACACACACCTGTTATCCCAACACATGAGAAGAGGCAGAAGGATCAGGAGTTCAAGGTTATCCTTGGCTATATAACAAGTCTGAGGATAGCCTGGGCTCTGTGAACAAAAGGGACACCAGTGGGAAGGAATGAGATGTGCTGGGGGCCATCAATCATATGCAGACTGTTGGGGTTCTAGGAGAAGTGTGTGCTGTGGGAAAAGGTCGTCCAGCAGCTGGTGACCTTAGGGGTTGACTTCCATAGTCTTCCTTTGACCTGCCTGTCTATCCCTGATCCTCCTCCTGTGGAAGAATGAGCTCATCGCTGGACACCTTGCTTGGCTACCCCACCCATGCGCGAGACCAGCAAAGCCTTTGTGCTATTTATTAACCTGCCTTGAACGCACCCCTAATGTGGGATGTAGCGTTGCCCTGCCTCTCCTCACAGGCCTCAGAGCCCAGCTACAGTACCCCCAGGGCACCCTCCATCTCTTTTTCTCTTGAGGAGAAGCACAGACATGCTTTTGCCGGAACGGTAATATTCCAGGGTGTCTCCTGAGTGGGCTCATAAATCAGTGCGGTCTCCGGAGAGCGGCACGTGTAATCACTGCTCGAGCCAGTGCGTCGCATGTGCAATGAACAGATGTGGCTGCATTATTCAGGCTCCTTCTTTGACTTCCCTGCTCGAATGTACGTTTAAAAATGTGGTGTTGATGAACGCACCTCCCCCAGGGAACATAAATCCACCACCAACAGAACTGGCACCCAGATTTGGATGCACCAAGAAGGAGTTTCAAATGCTTAGGTTAACCACTTGCCATGTTGGAGTCCTGTCGAGTTCTCGGCCCAAAATGTTATGATGTGCGTGTCATTTCAAATTCTCTTGCTGAAGATGAAATAATTGCTAATTATATCATCCGTGAAATTTACATAAATGTCAGAAGACATGGTGCTGTAGTAGAAATGTGTTTGTTTAATTCTGCTCTTTCTTTCTCTTTTTTTACCCATCATGTGAAACGTGGCATATACACAGCGTGTCTCTGCACGGTTTGTAGAAGGGCTGTCACCATGAACATCTGCATCTCCAGAGCCTAGAGATGATGCAGGGTACCGCTGGCTCCTGAGGTACTGTGTTGTCTTCCTGGAGGGGCTGCAGCCTCACAGTCATGGCAGCAGCGTGCTGCTCTTGCTTCGAGTTCTACCATGTGTATCCATTCCTGAGCGTGTGTGGTGGCTTGAACAATAATGACCCCTGGAGACCCATATTATGAACACTTAGGGAGCGGCATCAGGAGGTGTGGTCTTGTTGGAGAAAGTGAAGTGTGTCACTGGGGGTGGGCTTTGAGTGCTCAAAGCCAGGCCCAGTGTCTCTCTCTTTCTTCCTGCTGCCTGTGGAGGTACCAAGCTTGCAGCCACCTCTCCATTACCATGTCTGCCTGCATGCAGCCATGCTTCCTGCCATAACCTCAATAGACTTCTGAACGGTAAGTCAGCCCCAGTTAAATGTTCCCTTTGTTAAGAGTTGCTGTGCTCATAGTGTCTCTTCACAGTTCTAGAAACTCTGACTAAGACACAGCTCAGTTTAGTTCCATGTTTATATCATGCCATATGCATTTGCGGTGTCCCTGTAAAAAAAAAATCTAGGAATGCTTCCTTCAGGGCTGAGCCCCAGTTGCTTCGTTGCCTCTCCAGGCCAGCTTGACCACATTCTTTGTTGGGACAGAGGTGTGGACTTGGGACTTTGGTTCATCTTCATCACTGCATAGCATTCTCTTAGTAAAGGAAGGCTTCATATCTGAAATACAATACATTCCTATTGTAATGGCTATATCTATATATCTATGTATATATGTGTGTTTATTGATAAAATTATTACTGTATGTACATTTTATTTTACTTTTAGACAGGGTCTTTTATTGCTCAGGCTTGTCTTGAACTTAACCGTGTAGCTGAGGACAATCAAACTTCTGGTCCTCCCACCTCCACCTCCCAAGTGGTGGGATTACAGGTGTGTGCCACGATGCTCAATTCATGCAGTGCTGGGCCTCAAATCCAGGCCTTCGCAAATGCTAGGTAAGCACTCTACCCACTGAGTGGCATCTCCAGTCTTCATATGAATTCTCCTGTACATGTCTCTTGGGCCTCACGTGCACCGACCCTGCAGACTAGAGTAGAGTGTCTTCTATAAAGGATGCTTGAACTTTGTCTCAAAGAGTTAGTGATCAAATATGTGATTCAATGTGAACTGATTTTATCGTGACCCTTAAGCATTTCAGACACACTGAAAAAATATTGCTAATTTAAATATATATAGCTAGATTCACAAACCTTATCTAAAGGTAAGATGAGGGCTAGGAGGACGGCTCAGTGGGTATAGCGCTTGCTTTGCGAGCTTGAGAACCTGAGCTCAGATCCCAAGCACCCATGTAAAGCTGACTGAGCAGGAGAGTGTACCCATATACATACATGTGCACATACATGTACCCACACACATGAATGAATGAATGAAATACTTTGCAGTTTAGATGATGGCTTCATCACGGAACAATTTGTTCTTCCCTGCTCCTCCCTGCCCTATTCCCTGTAGTTTTACAGGTCTTTCAATGGGAAACAAAAGTAAATCATTAAGATAATTTAACATTAGTGAGTCAGAGGCAGGCATCACTTTGGGATTTTTTTTTTCTTGAGCTCTGGTCCAAAGAGCAGGTGAGCTATGAGCCATGTGGAGCCGAGACTCTGCACATCCCAGGTTCCCTGTCTCATGCATACAGCACACTCCTCCTCTCTGAATTATTTCAGACACTAATCCAACTGATAATAATGCCTAACGCCCACTTCCGTCATATGCTTTGTGATAGAACTTGCCGCTTAAAACACAATTCACTTATTGGACAATTTGAGATTCGATGTCTGATGGACTCTGTTCTGGCTACAATGGCTACTACAGCTTAAACAATATCTCTCTCTCTTTTTTTTAAGATTTACTTATTTGTTTATTATGTATACAGTGTTCTCCCTGCATGTATGCCTGTAGACCAGAAGAGGGCATCAGATCGCAAACGGATAGTTGTGAACCACCATATGGGTGCTAGGAACTGAACTCAGGACCTTTGGAAGAACAACAAGTGCTCTTAACCACTGAGCCATCTCTCTAGTCCCTCATCTCTCAATTCTTTTTTTTTTCTTTTTTTGGTTTTTCGAGACAGGGTTTCTCTGTGGTTTTGGAGCCTGTCCTGGAACTAGCTCTTGTAGACCAGGCTGGCCTCGAACTCACAGAGATCCGCCTGCCTCTGCCTCCCGAGTGCTGGGATTAAAGGCGTGCGCCACCACTGCCCGGCTCATCTCTCAATTCTTGAAACCAGCTCTGAGACCAAGCTGCCTGCATATCTGTGGTCTGGCAAGTACACAGTTACACATTCTCAAATAGTGGAGCGCTAAGAGCTCAGGTCTCTTTGTCCCCTTCTAGGGCACTAACCCTACCCAGGGAAGAGTGGAGTTCTCGTGACTAATCGCTTTCCAAATATCATAGCAAAAAAGAAAATGCAAATTTGGTTGGTTCATGGAGAAGGATTCTAAGACCAAAATTACCTTTCAGAATAAGTTTTATTAGAGAGTCTGGTTCTGTGGAGGCCATGATCAGGCCCTGGAAGGGAGAGCTTAGGAGGGATGGTACATTGTACCAGAGGCAGCATGATGGTGCCTTGAGCAGGGGTGAGGGGGGACTCTAGGTGTTATGAGGAGAAAGATCATGAGGAGAGATAACTCAAAGTAAAAGAGATGGGTACAAAAATCTCTTTCCTTTCAAAATTAAAAAAATATTTATTTTTAATGTATACGTATTCATGTCTGTGCTTGTGTATGTATGACAAAGTGTACTGCCCATAGAGGCCAGGAGAAGGCATCAGAGTTACAAGTTGCAATTATGAGCAGTTGTGAGCTGCCCAATGTGTGTGCTGGGAGCTGACGTGGGTGCTCTGCAGTATGGGCTCTTAGCCAGAATCTGCCAAATCACTGTGTAACACTTCACCAGGGGCTGGGGAAGTCCTGATGCTTAAGTAGAGGCGTCAGAATTGTTCACTGGGAGCAGCAGAGGCAAGGAAGAGCCCTTGTTTACAAGTCCCTGCTACATGCACAGGAGGAGAGAGAGAGAGGACACACATTCCGTAGTCCAGGGAGAATCCTCGAGATAGTTCGTGTCCCACCCACTTTTGTTGTATTGGTGGAAGAAAAGAATTGCATTTATTAGTTAGTTAAAAATTAAAATATCCACTGTCTGGCTCTCACTGTTATTGCTAGTAGGATAGTAGATTTTTTTTCTTTTTCATTTTTGTTTGTTTGTTTGTTTTTGCTTTTCGAGACAGGGTTTCTCTGTGTAGCTTTGGAGCCTGTCCTGGAACTCGCTCTGTAGTCCAGGCTGGCCCTGAACTCACAGAGATCCACCTGCCTCTGCCTCCCGAGTGCTGGGATTAAAGGCATGTGCCACCACAACCTGGTGGATAGTAGAATTCTTCTGTGTTTGGCTCAGTGAGATAGCTGTGTGGTGTGTATGATGTAACTCTTTTCTACGATGTAGTCTTTTTTTATTTTAGGGAGTTGTACTGTCTTGGCAGGTGTATTGCATCTAACTAGGGGTTAATTAGAATTTTGTTTTATCAAATGTCAGTGATAAACTGAAAGAGTATTTTTCCTCCATGGTTAAAAAAATGGTCAGGAAAAAATAGCAAGAAAATATAGGGAAATTGACTTAACTGTAAAAGACATTGCCAATTAGAATACCAAGTCTAAAATGGCTCTTACATACGAACTTATTTGCATAGATTAACATTTAATCAGAGATAAATTTGGGAAATTTTTAGTGTACTGATACTTGAAGATAGTTATATAACATACTGTTTAAGCTCAGTTTTTATATTTCTTTTAAGACATTTTACCTTTGATTTGTGTGTGTGTGTGTGTGTGTGTGTGTGTGTACTCAAGCACATAGGTCAGAGACAGCTTGCTGGAGTCTGTTCCCTCTTTCTGCCTTGTGGGCCCCAGGGACAGAACTCAGGTCATCAGGCTTGGTGGCAAACATCTTTACCTGTTGAGCCATCTCACTGTCCCCTTATACTATAGTTTGAAAGCTCAGTTTATAACAGTAAAACACACCCTCCTTAACATATAAGCTTTATTTAAATGTATGTATGATTCTCTGTGTGATTTTGACTTCCAAATAAGGCAACCATTGTGGATAAAGGACAAGGTTTATTTATTTTTTGCAAGTGTCTGTTGGACTCATCTGCTCCTTTGCTTCACTCTTTTTGAGTTCACTTCGCATTTTACAAAGACTTTCTCCTGGGTGGGGTGAAGCTGCAGATCATCTATATTTTCAGGGCAAAAAGTCATTCTGAATAAAAACAAAAACAAAAAACCACGGTGTGATGTTTCAGAGGGGGCTTATTGAAGTATTCAGCTGTTATCGAATACCAGCCCAGTTGTGTAATGCATGTGATATGATTTTTTACATTAGATGCTTAGGTTTGAATATGGTTTTATAACTTCAGAGAAAAATAAAACCTAAGTTGGTGAAAGCAATCCTCAGGGGGCTCGACTCTGAAACCCCAGGGGCCTGCTTCCTTTTTTTCTAGTAACAGCTCTTCAAAAACTTGAGGGTGAGCATCATCATTACTTTTCCCCTACTCCAGGACAGACGTTCATAGCTCCTCAACTTCCTGTTCAGGCTCAGTACCCCAGCATTCAGCCTTGCTAATTCAACCCTGCGGCCCTCCCCTTCTACCTACTGGTGTGTAGGTAGATTTCTGCCTTGAGTTCCTGCCCGGAACTTTCCTAGTGATGGACTGTTCCCTGGAAGTGTAAGATGAAATCCACTCTTTCCTCTGCCAATTGCTTTGGTCATGGTCTTTGTCACAGTAGTAGAGACCTGAGACACCTCCCCTGCAGGCATAGGGTGAGTTATTTAACTTACTTTTTCTTTTAGTCCATGTGTTTAGCAGTGTGGTTGGGAGTATAGGATTTTGTGTTTGTATCTTGTCTCTGGCCATTGGTCCCATGAGACAGGCAGTATGATTTCCATGTGTTATAACCCCAGTCTGAAAGAGGTGGGCTTGTTGTCTGAGGCAATATAGTCAGAGAGTTGTGAAAACAGAATTCCGACTGGCTCTGTCAGCCATAGTGTTTAGCTCACTGCCTGCCTCCTAGGAATGATTTTGGCCCTCTCAAAGCCTGCTGCAGTCAAGTCCGGGTGTCTACAACCTGAACCACCTGTCTTTACTCTTACTGGATTATGCAACACTGGGGATTGGTATTTAAAGTCCACAGACCGCAGCAGTAGCACCTGGGAGCTTTTTTTGAACTCAGGAATCTCAGGTCCTGCCCAGGCCTGCTGAGATAGGACTTGCATTCTGAAAAATCTGTAGGTTCGTTAAAATTGGAGAAGCCTTTGGCTGGAGCACACAGTGAGCAACAATAATCTGTCTTCCTTTCCTAATGGTGTCCTGGAGTCTATACAGAAAGCCACAGCTCCAGAGTTTGGGGGTGCCTCCCCAGTGGCACGTGATACTGCTTAGACATTGAGGAGTATTTACAACTTGGAAAATTACAGAGCTTGTAGCTCCACAGTTCCCCCCCCCTTTATATGTGTATTGTGTGTTCCTATGTGTGCATATGGGGGGGGGTGTACACGCGTGGAGGCTGGAGGATAACCCCAGGCATCATTTTTCAGACACTGCCCACCTTGTACTTCTCAGAGTCTGTCGTTGGTCTGGAACTTACCAAGAAGACTAGTCTGGCTGGCCAAGGAGCCCCAGGCAACCTGTCTCCACCTTCCTAGCACGGAGATTACAAGTTCATGCCACTACACCCAACTTTTCTTGTGTGAGCCCTTGTGCTTATAAGACAAGCATACCATTGACTAGCTTCTCCCATGCCTCCTCCATCCCTTTTAAATGTGTACGACCTATGGCCCAGAGGAAGGAACTGATGCACCTATATGTTAATATCCAGTACTGCAATTCTGATAAACTGGACTAGAGAAAGTTAGATTAACGGAGCTGAGACTAATGAAGGGAGGCGCCACTTAAAACAGCATACCAGGAAGCAAGGGGCCAACCTGACCCAAGCAGGGCAGAACTAGGCTTAGACACCCATTAGCTATGGGACTTCTGTGAACCCTGGGCTCCTGATTCACACTCCAAGCTACCTCTGTGAGGTCATGGGAGATTAACATTAAGATCACTCTGTTCCATGTTCTCTGTCCTTTGGGAGCTCATTAAGCCTTCCCTTCTTCTCTTTCCTTTTTCCGGTACCATAAGGTGTGCAGCAGAGTAGAGGGCAGTGCGGTGGTTTATACCATCTCATAGGGCAAGGCACACAGAGTGCCACAGTGAACATGAGCAGTTATCTCTAGCTAAGAGAACGCTGAGGGGGCAGTGCTCAGGACGGTTGACCTACAGGTCAACCTACATGTTGCAAGAATAGCTCAGGATGTGAGAAGAGGAGCGGTTTAGTTTTCTCAGATTGATGGTGTGGAGGTTACTGCATAGCTGCGGAGTAGGCTTTCAGCAATCGCCATTATTTTGTATTCCAGGGAGATAAAGTCTCAGGGTACAGTTGCATAAGGGACTGAGGCATAAATCTGCCATGGGCAGGCTCCAGGCAGTGAAAACTGAGGCTGAGGAAGCATGGGGTTTAGAGGTAAGCAGCCTACCTTTGCCTTCTCTGCTAAGCAGAAAAGGGAACTGGACTTCCTCCCAGAGGAAGGTGGGGAACAGAGAAGGATTTCTTGAACACAGAGGGCAGAGCTAGGAAAGAGCCTTCAGAAGCACAGAAGCATCCTGCCATGGAGCACACAAAGCTACAGGAAGACGTGGTTACCATGACAAAGCGCGCTGAGCATCCCTCTGCTCTGCTGAGTCTGTAAGCACTGTTGGACCATACTTCCTTTCCTTCTTTTCCTGTTTCCATCCCAACCCCTTTGTGTCCCCAGGAACTTTGAAGCCAGGAGAGATGACACACCACAAAAAGTGGCATTTCTTGGGGTAAGGGTCACATTGTCTTATCAAGCTTCCTTAGGGTTCTCCTAGGTCTCTTCTAAGACGTGGGTCCAAGAACTTAGCATATCTACTAAGTTTCCCAGTGGTTCTTTGGTGGGGGTGGGGATGGAGAGACAGAGACAGACAGACACAGAGAAAGTGGCAGAAACCAAGACAGTGAAAGAGAAAAGGCGAAACAAACTCAATACACACAGAAAAAAAACAGATAAACACACTAAGAGAGTGCCAGAGAGAGAGAGAGAGAGAGAGAGAGATTGTGCAGTCTCCCAGGCCTGTCTCTGACTTAATAACAAGGCAGAATGTAACAGCTCTCAGTAGTCCTTCCCTGGTGACCCTGGGCTTCATGAAGCCTCTGACTCCAGAGGAGTAGCTGACAGACACAGATGGGGAGAAGGGGAGAAGCTGGCCAAGTCATCAGAAAACCTTAGTGCTCATCTTTGTCTTCTACCCTGGGCTGAGTGAACCAGGGAGGGCCCCATGTCTTCCCTGTGCTCCATCACTAGTGTGTCAAGGTACCCACTTCCTGTGACTGATGGGAAGCTGAGCAGGGACGTTGCTTGGAACCTGTAGGCCCAGCGTGAGGAGATGTTAGTATCACCTTTGCTGTGTTTCTCCAGCTTTGACCCAGATGGTCTTCAGAATGAGGCCCGAGTAGTGAGATGTCATGCCCCATGGCATGATGACCTGCACCGTGTTCCAGACATTGGCCCACACTGCACTGTTTTCCCACTTGAACTTGATGATGATCAACTCGCCAATGTCTTTGTCCAGTGTGATGAGGAGGGAGTAGGTTTTATTACTGGTAATTCCTTCGCCCCTTGAAAATATACAAAGGAAACGAGTTAATTGAGCTCGGCTGTAGCAGCCAAGTGACACAGACACACTCAGGACACTGAAATGACATTGGGGGATTTTCGCTGCATTTCCAAAATCAGTGTTCAATAGACAATGCTGGCAGTAGGTATGAGAAGTTTAGGAGGGTTTCTCTGACAATACAATCAGGGAACCATACTGTTTTCCATATTAATCACATCCAAAAGGGTCTGAGATATTTTGCTGTCATGAATAGAGCTAACGCCTTTTGGCTTGGCAGAGTTGGGCTATGGATCTGGACAGTCTCTGCGGCTGACACACAGACACCCCATGCCACAATCCCCCCTCCCCCCGTATAAAGAGGGCTCTCTCAGTATAAACAGAACCATCCATTACAGCGACACAGCTTAACCGGACAGAAAAGAGCACATAGGGAAGGATTCATCGACTCAGCAAGGCTGAAGCTCTACTGCGAGGCGTTGTTACTGCTTTCGCTTCCTGGTCTCCAAGACCACCCAGTTCCCATCACTGACAGAGAGAGGCCAACTCCATGCCCTGTCTATGCTCCCGAACAATCTCTCAGGAGAAATTGTTGACAATATAGAGGTAATGCTGGGTCTAGGTGACACAAGCTGAATGGAGGGTTTCCCTGGCATGACTCAGCTCAGATCCTTCTGCCATGTGTTTTCAAGGTGACTGGTGTAGGGATCTACCCAGCCGCTGGGCTGTGAGCATCCGCCCTAAGGGCAAAACCTCAGTTTACCCTCCCAGCAGAACACTGCAATAGTAAATTTGGTGAATGTCTGAATCGGTATCTCAGGGACCCAAACTGGGGACAATCTTTAGGAAGCTAAGAGCTGGCCCTGAAAGGGATGCTCAGCCCTTGTCACTCCCCAAGGGAGTCTGTGGGGGAGGGTTGAAATGCCAGAAAAGGGCGTGGTCATTTTCTGACTGGGAAAGCTGGGGAGTCTCTGTGTGAGGCCTCCCTTGTGAGGCTGCTGGTGTGAGCAGATATGCCAAGGGTGGGGCAGGGCTGGGCTGGCACACCCTGCTGACTGAGCGTGCCCATCTGTGACAAAGGCAATGATTCCAGTTTTGTTTCTGGGTGTGTTTTCCTGACCTTGCTGGAAAGGTGCTTGGAAATCTTCGTGAGGACCCCGGCCCCACCCCCACAGCCTCTCCCCTCTCCCCTCCAGGTCTCCTCTGGATTGCACACACCGAGAGCAGCCACCTCTGGCTTCCCTCTGCTCCCAGGGCGATGACCCCCTTCACTCTCACAGATGCTGCTCAGGGATCCTGAGATACAATGTGAGAGACAGGATTGGGTCGGTGTCCCACTGACCGGCATCTCTGGGGCAGCCACCGTGGGAAGTACCCATTGAAAAGTGGAGTCTGTCTGGAACCTGTGAGAGAAACAAGGGTGCCATCACCACAGATGGGGCCACGCTGGTACTTACAGGGTGATGGGAATTTTCTTCACTTCTTCTTTTGTTCCCAGCAAGGACATGGAAAAAGTGGGCTCTACTGGCTTCTCAATTTGATTGATGAACTGGATCTTGAACTGGTAATGATAAACTAGAGGTGGAGGAGAGATGCGAGGACCAGAGATGGGGAGGAGAAAAAAAAAATAAGTAGGACTTTTTTTGTGTCTGCCAAGGATGACCTTGAATTTCTTCTTTATTTTTTAAATTTATTTATTTACTTATATTTTATGTGTGAAAGCTTTGCATATATACCTGCATGCCAGAAGAGGACATCAGATCCTGTTATAGACGGAGTTGAGCCACCATGTGGTTGCTGGGAACTGAACTTGGGACCTCTGGAAGAGCAGCCAGTGCTCTTAACCATCAGGCCATCTCTCCAGCCCCATCCTTGAACTTCTTGTCTTCTACTTGGCCTCCCTGCATGTCTGGATCACAGACACACTCCGTGCTCCACCGGACCTGGTTTATTCAGGGCCGTACATGCTAGGCAAACTCTCTACCGATCAAGTACATGTTTTAAATGAAGCAGGATCTTGTGTGGCCCAGGTTGGACCTAGACTCACTGTCTTCCTGCCTCAGCCTCCATGGTACTGGGATTATAGGCATATGGTCCCTTGCCCAACTATTTAAACAGGAATTACAAATTTAAACTCCTCTGCTTTTTTAAAATTTAAAAATACAGAGGAAATATCCTAAATAGATAGGTACCAAAATGTTAACAATGTTTCTTTGCTTTTTCACCCTGAGGAGTGGAGCTCTGAATGCTCTCAGTTTCCTTCCTTCTCTCTGTGCATCCTGAATATGGCGCGCTCATAGTGTCTTTATAGTAATGATGATGGCGGCTGGGGATGTAGCTCTGTAGGAGACCTAGCATGTGGGAGGCTTTAGGTTCCATCCCTAGTACCAAAAAGCAAAGGAGATAGTATTGTCTGTGAAAGACAGTGGAACTGGGGACTAGGGAGATGGCTCAGTCAGTGAAGCGTTAGGACCTGAGTAAAATCTCCACGTAAAAAGCCACATGTGGCATACTTGCTTGTAATTCCAGCTGCTGCGAGATTGGAGGCAGATATAGGGGATCCCTGGAGCTTGCTAGCCAGCTGGTGAAGGTCCAGGACAATAAGAGACCTTGTCTCAAAAAGGTAGACAGCCCCTAAGTACAGACGCCCAAGGTTGCCCTCTGACCTCAGGACTCGGGGCATTTCCCACTGTTGTTCTCCTGGTCCTGATGACCACACATTCATGTTCAAGGCAGTTCCTAGCATCAAGCTTCCGCGGGTGACATGAGCCCACTTTCTGGTGGGGAGAGGGTGTCACTGACTCTAGATCTCTTGGACCATTGTAGCAGCCACCCAGTGTTCTCTTCCGCAGGATTCTGAGGAAACCTTTTGTCTACCTTAACACAGTTAGACCCTACACTTCATGCTCAGATCCCCGGACTGGATGCCCTGACCACATTACAAAAGGCTGTGAGTGAAAATTCAGACAAGAGGGAGGAAGGACCCTGGCTTCTCATCCTAGAACTTTTGGAGAGGACTTACACTATTTGGTGGTTGTCAGGGAACCAAGGCAGAAAGGAAAGATCTACTTAGGATATGGCTGCAGGCACTAGGGTAGGAGCCTTGGATGTGGACAAAAATGAGAGTCAGGGGCCTGGCCTTTTGTGCTGCTCCAAGAAAGAGGTGGTGTATTCCTAAGCACCTATGCAGTACCCAGAGCTCTGGTTTTTCCATTCAGCCTTCTGTTATAGGAGATATTTGGTGTTGGCTGCATGTTTGGTCCCATGGTACTGGGGCGGAGTAGGTAGAACTGTGGGGGTTTCCCCAGGTGCCTTGAAGATATTATCTCACTTAACTCTCACAACAATCAATGTTATTATTATTTCATTTCACAGGGCAATGTGCAGCACACAGAACTTCAGTGACTGTCTGAGGACCACACAGCTAGCGGTAAGTAGCATCTCAGAGACGTAAGCCCAGGCGGCCTAGCTCTAGCAGCTGAGCTGAGCTAGAACCAATAGCTCCTGGATAGCCCAAGGACAAAGTTAAAATGTAAAAAGAGATTTAAATTGAAAAAAAAGTCGAAATAATTATTTAACTAACAATAAATCAGGGCAGGGCATGGTGGTACATGCCTTTAATCCCAGCACTGAGGAGGCAGAGACAGGAGGATCTCTGTGAGTATGCTGTTAGCCTTGTCTACAGAGCAAGCTCCAGGAGAGCAAGGACTACATAGACAGACCCTTTCCCAAAAATCCAAATAAATTAAATAAGTAAATAAATGAATAGAAACCAGGAACACCTTAAGTAGTCAATACTGGTAAATTGACAACTTGTTTCTGTGATAAGATTTTGTTCTGTCAGCCGGGCTAGTTTGGGATTCTTGGGCTCACGTGATCATCCCGCCTCAGCCTACTGCGCAGCTGGGAAGATGGGTGTGTGCTGCTAGTAGTTAAGAGTCCTGAACCACAGAGGCAAAGCTTCTCATGCAATGACCTTAATTTTCTTCACGTGGTTTCTACTGTACCAGCTTTATCGTCCTTGTGATGGCATCTTCTGAAGGAAGAAAGCGAGGCTTCTGGGAGGTGAGTGCATTGCTCGCCTTCTAGTGACCAATGACTGAAGTGGTACAGTCGACTCTGAGGTCATGTGTCCAGCCGTGTGATCGACTCTTAGAAGCCATTAAAAGATATATTTTTTTTTCAAGAGCAGAAGAGATGGCTGGAGATATGGCTCAGTAGTTAAGAGCATGTATTGCTCTTGCAGAGGACCTGTGTTTGATTCCCAGCACTCACCACTCACATTGCCCTATAACTCCAGGGGCTCCTGCACCCTCTTCTGACATCCATGGGCACCTGCACTCATAGGCACACCCCCCCCCCCCAACTTAAATGTAAAATAAACATTTTAAGGAGATATTTTCCCAGGCAATTTCACTTGATGAAAGAAATGAAAAGGAAAGGAATGAAAAGAAAAACAAAAGTTATAACCACAGTGCATGAAATTGTCTGCAGCATCTAAGAGCAAACTCTGCACAACAGGAGGCATATTCCCAGAAGTCACAGGAATCTGGATGTGGGCAGAACTTGTGAGCACTTGGAGAGGGCAGGGAGCCAGGGTCGATGTTTTTTTTTTCAAGGTCCGCACCTCCTACAGTAAGTGTTTTAATTATTCTCTTCTTGGGAAGAGGAGCTTTTCAAAATGTTTAAAAAGCAATCAAGAGAACAAGAAGCTACAGTGCCCTGGCCTTGAAGGAGCTGGCATTCAGGCTGTCTAGCCAGAGACCTGTCACCCTCTGCCATGTCTGGTGGCCTTCAGTGTGCATAGCCCCGCTCCCTGAGCACAATCTTAGGGGAGGGAGTCTTGTCACTTTAAGAGTCGCCATAATAGGACAAAACTCATTAGACATCCATGCAGTCAGTACACAGTAGGATGTTTATTAAAGAGCCACAAATAGACAAGCTGCACTAAAGTCCCCCCCCCCAACTGTAATGAGAAACACCCATCAAGCACCTTTGTTATGGTACCTCAAGTTATACCCTAATATTCTAAATGTTTTACTCACCTACCCCGCCCCCATTTTTTGGTTCTCTTTTTCAACTTTGGTTTTCCGAGACAAGGTTTCAAGCAGCCCAGGCTGTTTTGAACTTGATAACAGAGGTTGACCATGAATTACTTGCTGGTGGTCCTCCTGCCTCTACCTCCCAAGTACTGGGATTACAGGCGTGTACCATCACACCAACTTTGTGCAGTGCAGGGAATTGAACTCAGAGATTCAGCCATGCTAGGCAAGCTCTCAGCCAACTCAAGTCATATCCTCAACCCTCATTTTTTGTTCTCTTAGTGAAATTAAATACTGGCAACATGCTGGCTCTCTTCGCTGGGGTTTCATCCACTCTTTGCCCTTCTCTGCCTACCTCTGGATCTGGGATGTGACTTTGACTGTATCTGCATGTTCTCTTGTTCATTGGCTTTTGGGTAGGCTTGGGCACTAGGGAGGTGCTGGGGGCGATCCCAGGGACTTTCCTCTGTTCCTGTATGCTCTGGAGCTGCCTCTGCAGCAGCTGCACCTCCTCCCAGCTCTTCCAGGATATCCCAAGGTCTATTCTTTCCTCTGCTCACTCCCTTCTGATGTCACAGTCAGGTGATGCCACAGTCCTTGCCAACTTCCTTTCCATCATCCTTTTCTATAAGAGTTCCACTTTCCTTCTTCCATACATCCAGGCCAGACAGTGGGGTCCTGTTTCTCAGCTGAACCCTACACAGATAGATTCTGATGGTCCTGATGAATTTCAGATAAGGGCACCAAGGGTTAGATATCTACAGTTATCTAGATGGTGAAAAGCGGGACAGAACTCCAGACCTGGTGTCTGGTTGCAAAAGACCCTTTTCATGTCATCTAATGTTGGTATCTTGCAAGTGATGTGTGCCCTTTGAAATCAATGGCAAATGTCGGACACCGAAGTAGCCCAGGGTCCAGCTATCACTGGCGGGGAGAGAGTTTCTTGTCCCTAAACTGGATATGTGCTTTTTCTCTCCTCTTTTCCTAAGTGTTCTATGGGAGGAGATAGATTTCCACATCAGGGAGGTTGCAGTTTTAGGGTCCTGGGGGCTGTGCGGTTAGACCTGATTGCCAAGGCCCCTTGAGCTCGCACAACCTACAAGGGAGAGCTGCCTTGATGCCAGGAGGCAGCTGCTTGTTCAGGGGGCAGGTGTGCAGATGTAGAAGCCAGGTGTGGTGGCATACGGTTGTAATTCCAGCTCAGGCTACACAGCGAGGTCCTATCTTAATAATCCAAAACAGTTAAATGAACATAATAAATGAAATGATCACAAAAGGCATGTGTGAGATGAGGCTGAGGGACCCTGGGCAGCTCACATCAGACCTGGCTGGGGGAGTGGGGGGCATCTTCTCCATGATGCTGGGGCCACCAATATTCAGAACACATTCCTGGAGACCCTGTGTCCGAACTGGGACTCTGCTTTGTCAGTGCATGAATGCAGCCACCTTTTTGGAGAGATCTTGAAGTAAAATGAATTCAACATGAAAAAGCCTTTTAGGCGTGGTTATGGCTCAGTAGGGAGAGGGCTCATCTAGCATATGCAAGACTCTGGGTTCAGTCCCTAGCCAAAGCCTGGTTATTGGTTCCTACTTGAATGTGTATAAATGTTTTTCTTAGATGCTCATAGAATTATAAAGCGAGCGAGGAAAAGCATGACTGCTTTGCTTGCTTACCTTATGATGTGTTTAACTGGGCTGCTAATAAATGATTTAGCCAAAAAAAAATTACCCTGTGACTTCAAAGAGTCCAGATAAGCCTGTGTTCTGACACAGAAATGATTTCACGACTTGTAGATAAAAGGCCTGGAGGAGTCTGCTGACCTGGAACGCAATGAGGCGACTCCCTCCCGAGCAGAGACCTGGGGTGAGTCCACACTGTGGAAAGTCCTGGATTCTCGTTCACTGTGGACTCTGCTAGTGCCATTTATTAAAACAAACAACATCCCAAATTTTTCTCCTCAGAGTGGCCATGATGAACACAAGGTATAGAATTTGTGGAAAGAAAATGTTTTGTTTCTTGTCCTTTTTTTTCTCTGTGAACTGTTACTGGGTCTGTAGGTCTTATAACCTCTCTGAAAACATCACAAAAGGCTTTTGTTCCCCTGGGTGTGGATTTTATCTCACTGAGCCATAGGAATGAACTCTCCCGTGCTTTTCTGAAGTGCCAAGGACTTGTTCCTATACTTCAGGGAAGCTGACAGTCACAGGACTAAGGGTCCAAGGATTGTGTGGTCCTGTTGTTGAGGCAGGGGACAGCCCAGGGGCCTGTGATTCATTGACCCAGAGCAGGGAAAGGGAAGGAAGGAGGGTCATGGGACTTTGTAAGTATGTGTCTGTGGGGTATGTGTTTATTCTAGCAGTCATATCTGGGTTCCGCACTTAGGGCCTAATGCCCAGATACCATGAGACTAGATGCCTATCCCTTCTGTGGGGAGTTTTTTAGTGTTTTGTTGACTGCCTAAGAATGGAGAGAAATACATAAGAATGCTTGTGTGTCTGTATGTATATGTATGCATCTGTGATGTGGGATTCCCCTCTGTATGCTGTGAATGTGTTTAGTTACCAGTGGTTAATGAATAAAGCTACGTTGGCCTATGGCAGGACAGAATAGAGCAAGGCAAGAATTCCAAACAGAGATAGAGGAGAAAGTAGGTGGAGTCAAGGAGATGCCATGTAGCTGCTAAAGGAGAAAGACACTCTTGGACCTTACCAGTAAACCATGAGTCTCATGGTAAAATACGAAATAATAGGAACGGATTAATTTAAGATGTAAGAGTCAGTTAATAAGAAGCCTGAGCTAATAGGCCAAGCAGTGTTTTAATTAATACAATTTCTGTGTGATTATTTCAGGTATGAGTGGCTGGGAACAAACAAGCAATCTCCACTTACACATTTGTGTATGGTGCATCTGAGTATATATGTTTGTATGTCTCTGTGTCTGCATGTATATATTCACATTCATGTATCTAAATACATACATTTATGTAAGTAAATGTGTATATGAATATATATATGCACGCATATATGCACTTGTATATATGCATATATTGTATATTTGTGTATGTACTTGAATATGCATGTGTATGAATGTCTTGCTGCATCTGTGTATGTGTGTATATTTGTGTGTATATGTATATTTGTGCACATGTATACATATGTCTATATGTGTGTAAACACATGCATGACTATATTCATGTCTACATGTATGCATATTCATTCACGCATGTATGTGAATTGTATGCATATGTGTATGTAAATGTGTATATGTGTTTATATAATTTACACATGTATATGTGTGTATGCATATACATGTATGTATATAGGGCTATGTATAAACATTTATGTTTGCATGCTTGTGAATAAGTATGTATATACATGTTTGTGCATTTGTGTGTATTCATACATGTGGAATATAATGCTGTTTGACCTCCTGCTTCCAGCTCCTTGTACTCTGGGTCTTCATTGTATGGTGGTCATAATGATCCTTACATGGGAGGCAAAGCCCAGAGTTTGGGTTCTCGTTGTCACTGACATCATGCCTTGCCTTTGAGATAGAACTCCTCACAGCACCTGGAAGTAATGGACGCCCTTGCCTTCTTGAAGGTATCACTCCTTGTAGCCTTCTCCCACTCCCCCTCTGTGGCACTGGCCGGGCGGTGAGGTCCAATAGAAAGACCCATTTGTAGTGGCTCATCTCCACACTTGCTGACACTCCTTACTTTATAGCTAAAAATCAACCTTCCTTATGCTGATGTCAGTTTCTCACTGTTTCTCTGGAACTCTCCCTGGAATGTAGTGGAACTTTCCAAAGAATTAGTTGAGAAAAGCCCAAGACAGACAGATCCCTCAAGTGACAGTTTGTCTGGTCACTTAGAGGAGGTCTGGGGAGAATGGAGAGGCAGGAGGCAGGCCATTGGGGGAAGAGTCAGGACTGGGAGATCACTCTGGGTCTGGGTCTGGATCAGAGACTTCAAAGGCTGTAAGGAGTGAAAGGCTGGCTGTGACTAAATACAGTGCTTACACTCACAAATGGTGCGACCTCTCTGATCTCAAAGTGTTTATAGGAAATCTGAACAAAACACATCCCATAAATTACGACAGTCTCCCGCCTGTCTCTGTCTCCTCTCCCTGCGTTCCCTCTGATAATAAGGCAGCGGAGTGCTTTCGGCTCTCCCTGCAACCGGGTTACCTCATCTGCTTCCTCAGAGGGTGACACCAGCCCATCACTAGCTAAGAAGGACTTAATACAGATTCCTTCCTATCCTTTAAAAACAGCCTCCCAACTGGCCACACTTCCTCCCAACAGAGTGAGGACAGGAGCGGCTGATAAATTGCCTGGATCCACTGGGTGGTCATTTCCCGATTCTCTTCTGCCAAGGTTGCACTCAGCAGCTTTCCCCGAATTCTGGCAGGGATGTTTGCAGAGAAACAGATCCTTTGATGGCTCCATCAAATATCTCGGGGGCCAGGGGAAAGTGGGTCAAGTTAGTAAAGTTATAATCAGGGCGTTACATTTATCTTGCTTGACACACCAGACCCTGACCAAAAATGTACAGCGCGTGTCCTAGGAAAGTGTAAATAGTGACTCCTCTGTACCGCGGGGTTGGGCAATGCGGTCTTCTTAAGGTTCTGCATGTGACTGGAAGCCCGCAACAGAGATGACCGTGGTCATGGCCATTGGAGAAGGGGGAGTCATGTGGCTGCTTTAAAGGCCTTGGACCAGCACCATCAAGAGAATTTTCTACAAGATTGGAATGGTTCACTTCTGTGCTGTCTGATTTAGCAGCCATGAATTTATTTAAACCCTTGGATGGAGACTGGAATGAGTAATGGCATCCTGTTTTTTTTTTTTTTCTGAAGTATTGAAATGAGGGTTTAGAAGGTGGCTCAGGAGGTAAAGGTGTTTGTCAACAAGTCCAACAACCTGAGTTCAATCCCTGAGACCCACATGGTGGAGAGAATTGACTTGTGCAAATTGTTCTCTGATGTCCGTAAGTGCACACCATGCACAATCCCCCTCCCTCCTCATATATTACATAATAAAGTAATAAAAGTGTAAAAAGTGTATAAATAGCCATGTAAAGTGGATGGTTACCTTTCCTGTACAATGATATATTGGTGACAGAGCTGACCAGTTAAGTCTCACAGGGTGATGTGGCCACTGACACATTGATCCCATGGTGAGGGACATTAGCTTGGATACATGAAACCTTGCTCATTGGAAGGAGTGAAGAGGAACTGGGAGACTAAGGACTCAGTCCTTAGCTTTATCCTTGGCTGGTTTCAGGAAGTCCTGGTGAGTCCCCTCCATATCACTGGCAAGGGGGTACTGTCCTCACTGGATGTGCCTGGAGCAAGATAATTTACTGAAATATAGTGAAATAATTGTTTCCAAGGGACCTGTTGCCTGTTGGGCTGCCCCGAGCCCCTGAGATGGGTTCTGTCAGTGGACAAGATTACTGGTGGGTCACTGCTGGGCAAGACAAAGCAGAAAGGCTGAATTTTCGGGGCAGCGAGCGTTGATTGGTCCCTACAACTCTGCACATGCGTACAGCTCTTCTTTCCTGGCTTCCTTCTCTGGGCACTGCAGCCCAGAAAGAGTTCCTGAACCTTCAGGTAGGACACTCACCTCTGAAGGGAGCCTGGGCTCGGGTGATGAGAAAGAGCTTCTTGCTCTTGCCTGGCCAATCCTTGCGGATGTCATAGCCCAGAGTGTTGCAACGGCCCTTCTTGCAGCTTAGACACAGGCCCTGGCTGAAACTGTCCATGTCACTGCATTGGAAGCCTGTGCTCTGCAGGCCGCTGTGTCGCAAGGAGTCAATGAAGAGGTGCACCGAGCGCTCATGAGCACATTTGATGGTCTGGGTTATGGCTGAGACACAGGACAAAAAGACAATTAGCACTCTGAGCCCCAAGTGGCCCCAGCAAAAAGACTCATGGTTTCAGTCCTGGGTGTGTGTGTGTGTGTGTGTGTGTGTGTGTGTGTGTGTAGCAGGATTGCGGTGCTCTCCCAGACAACAGGGGTCTGTTGCAACAGAAAGCTAAAGAAAGTAGACCTCTGTAGTCACTGAGATCACCCTGCTATGATAACATGGATTAGACGGTGTTTTTATAGGCACCTGCTGTTCCTAGGTAAAATCCAGATCACACAGCTCACTTCTGAGGTGTCCTCACATGGTTAGCAAAGACCTAGTGCTGAGGTCTGGACAGAGAGTTACTTGGATAGGGGCTGGGGGCTTCCTCTCTTCTTACCACAGTCAGGCCCTCCAAGTCTAGGGCCTAATCCCCAAAGCAACATTTTTAGTGTTTAACATTCTGGGGTAGTGGTGGGTTGGGGTTACAGCAAGATGGCTCGTTAAGGAAAGGGGCTCACTGCCAAACCTCAAGACCTGAATGTGACTAAGATAAAACTCCTATAAGTTGCCTCCACACACATGCGTACCCAACACACACAAAATAAAAGAAATATAATAAAGATAAAAATTAAATTGTGTGTGTGTGAGTATGTGTGTAAGTGTATGCAAGTGTGCATGTACCACAGTGTGAGTGCTAAAGTCAGAAGACAACTATCAGGAGCTGACATTCCCCTTCCTCCTTAACATGGTCTGGGGATCCAATTTAGATCAACAAGCTTGCATGGCAAAGGCCCAGACCCACTGAACCATCATCCTGGTCCATCAACCTTTTTCTTTCAAGACAAAGTCTCGTATTGTCTGGGCTGGTTTTGAACTCTTGTTTCTCAAGTGCTGCGATTACTCCATGCCTGGTTTTATGCAAAGCAGGTTCCAGGTTTTCCTGTAAGCTCTACTGGCACTCTGCCTTGGAAGCTACACACCCATCCTCCCATCATGAAATCTGACCTTTTTAAAGAAAACCTTCCAATTTCTAATCTAATCTGTAGCAAATTATTCTTAAGTGAAGTCAGGGAACAACCAGAAGATACAGAAATACCTAAAGCCAGGTCAGGCACAGGGCATCTTGCCTGGAGCCACTTCCTTTAGTGTTTTAAAACTAAATGCAACATTGGTCATCTCGGTCACCATCAGCTCTGCTGCTGGTGTCTGTTAGGAGGGCTATACTGCTGGCTGTCCACACAACCATTCCCCATGGCTCCCCAGCAGTGCCTGGAGGCAGCTGTTATCAAAAATGAGAAAATAGCCTCAAAGACATTGGCAGGGCTCTGGGAGCTCTCTGGGTGTGGGTGTGGTGCCTGTGTGTGTGTGGGTGCGGTGGGGTGAGGAGGGTGGGGAGGGTGGAAAGCTGTTATCAAGCTGTCTTCTGCATAGGTGTGGTTGGGGGAAATTCTCCAGAATGGGAGCCCTTTAAACAAAGGGGTGAAGGACTCGGAATTCCTCTTTACCCCCAGTTAGGCAAGCAGGTTGCATTCAATTAGCTATGCCATTTTAAGTTTAGCGTGGAAAAGAAAACGGCAGTGACTGGTCAAAAATGTGTTTACCAGGCAAGTGGTGACCAAACACTCTCCTAGGGTCTGTGCTGAGCTTTGCAAGGAGGGGCTGTAGCTCTGAGAAAGTGTGCGTGAATCAGCTGAGACCTGTGGCTGACTAGAGGAGTGGTGACGCTGGGGAGATGCAAAGACAGATAAGGGGAACTTCCCAGAAGGCTCTGGGGTGTAGCAGGAAACTGGGAAAGCAGCCAACAGCAGCAGGGGAGGCGGTGAGGTGTGCGAAGGTCTTTCTGATACTGGAGAGGTGAGGATGGTGATGGAATCCCCAGGGCATGCTCAGCCTGGATTTGGATGACCGAGGTGGGAAGCTAGTGTGTAGGAAGGGGGTCTCCAGCTGTCACAGAGTGACCTGGCATGCTCCCATCAGGGTAGCATAGCAATGAGAACTCTGGAATGCCTGCAGTTTCCACGGGCCTGGAAGGCGCGGTTGCATGTTCTTTAGTTCCTTTTTATCCCTTGTGTGTTGTCAATGTGCATGTCGGTAGATCTGCTGCTGGAAGTTGCATGGGGGCATCTGGGCCTGGGGGAGAGTGATAATGGGGGTCGGGAAGTCAGGCCTAGGCTGGGGAGAGGTCAGGAAGAAAGTGATCGCCATGGAAGCACAGGGATCTGAGTTCAACCCCCAGAACTCAAGAGCAAGAGCCAAGTATGGCAGTGTGCTTGCAATCCCCATGCTGGGGCGGCAGAGACAGGCTTGGGGCAGCTACCCTAGCTGAATCAGTGAGAACCAAACCAGTAAGATACCTTGTCTCAAAAAACAAGATAGAGTGCGCACCCGTGTACACACACACACACACACACACACACACACACACACACGCACACATACACACGAAGTCAAATGCCCTCCTGTGACCCTAGAGACTGGAAGCCTCCAAAGGTGGAAAGTTCCAGAAAGGAGAGGACAACAGGCAGGGCCGGGACTCAGCTCTCAAGGGCAAATGCCCTTTGAGCAGCTTCTGTGTCACTCTGGGCAGGGGTGGGAAGAGACGGCTCCTGATGGTGTTCTTCCACGTGGCCTCCAAGGCCCTCTGAACTGTCACAGGGAGTAGCTGGGAGGCCCACCAGCCCCCCAAAAGACCTTTGAGACCCTATAGCAGGGTCTCTAGCCTTGCTGAGATGGTCCTGGAGGCCTCAGAAACAGGCAAAGGCTCTAGGCTTTGACTTTCTGTTCTTACCGTTTAAGCCGTGCTCTGCAATGTGTCTGTAGAGCTCCAGGAAGTGGCAGCCGGGCTGGAAGGTGCCCCCATTGGGGTAGAAGTCATAGTGGGCAATGGGCTGTTTGATGCCCACACTCAGACCCATGTGCTCACGGGTGAAGGTGTGAATGGCATCCACAAATATGGCATCATCTGGAGAAAGACGGTCGCTAGGGGAAGATCCCTCAAACATAGGGCCTGCAGGGTCCAGTCCTGGTAAGAAAACGAAAGCAGGCATAGATCAGCCGCAGAAGGCTCTCCTCCCAGCTCCGATATCTTTGCACATTTCTGGGTGAGCAGGAAGACAAGAGCTTGGTGCTTCTCTGGAACCTTCCACTCTGACATTGCAGTAGAGCCGCAGTCATTCACGGTGCAGAAAATCACCCAGGCCAGGCATTATTCTAAGGGGAAAGAGGTTTTCAGATCAGGAGGTAACAATCAGGTTATGAGTGAATGCTTGATTTATTTAAGCAAATCAATTCTAAGTGCCTCCCCTGGTAGTTTCTGCAGCATCTGTTTGCATAAAAATGCAGCAGCCCACGGTGCTCATTATATGCAGGTCTGACTGCTTGGGCAAAGGAAGAATTTGTTTGCCTGTGTGTTCTCAGTAGTCTCCTCGAACAAGCTGGCTTCCTACGCTCATGTCATCTGATTGGAAGGTCCAGAACAAGCTAAGGAAGGGATGGAAAGTGTCAACGTGTGGGGGCTTAGTAAGCCCCAGGCTCCGAGGAGCAGGCATGCTTGCAGGAACAAGAATGGCTCGTGGACACCTGCTTGGGGAGAGTACCTATGCAGCACGGCCTCTCTTCCTCGGATTTGTCTGGAGGACCCTTTGGTGGCAGGCCTCAGCCCCGGCTGCCATCGTTGCTGCAGCCAAGGGAGGAATTGACAGTGAGCTGTTAGGTCCCCTGCTCTCCACCCCACCTGCGGCCTTGGTGCCATCCACATTTCTTTCTTTAGACTGACAGCCAGATGACTAGAGCATAAGGAGCCCTTCTGCTGTCGCCCGTGTGGGTGGCCTGGTTGTAAATGCTGGGATGTGACAAGGCCTGCTGGAATGGGAGGCTGAGGGCTCAGGCCTGATAACGTCTCACTTTGTGGAATTCTTTTTTTTGTGTGTGTGTGTGTGTGTGCGCACGCGCGCGCGTGCACGCGTATGTGTGGTGTGCATGTTTACATGTGTGTGGGCACCTTTGCAGGTAGGAAGGTGTGCATGTGACACCAGAGACTGATGTCAGGAGTCTACCTTAATTGTTCTTTCACCGTATTCAATGAAGCAGGGTCTCTCAATCCAAGCCTGAGCTCACAGGGCTATGCAGCTTGCCTTGGGGCTCCCCCTCTCTATCTTTACCTTTCAAGGCTGGAATTATGGGTGAGATTCCACACCCATTGGGCATTTATTCATACTCTGGGGATCCCAGCAAATTCCAATCCTCAAATTTGCTTGCAATATTTAAGCCCAAACTTTGGGGAATTCTGACCCCTCTAGCAAAGCTTCTAGCAAGGTAAGGCAGGAGTGTCAGGCTAGATACAGAGCTGGAGGCTGGCTTGGGCTGCATGAGACAGGTCTCAAAAACAAAAACACAAATAAACAACAAAACCAGTTTGAAGTTTCTTGTTCTAAAATGTAATTGGAATCCTCTTTTGAACCCGTTTGGAACAGCTTTGAGAGTAGTTCCCTGGAAGAAAGGTCATAGGAAACAGGTTGTCCTTTGTTCTGCGTTCCCATGGGATAGCAGCAGTTCCTGACAGAAGACCTGCTGGGGAGTGTGTGGTGTCATCCCCTGAACTAAGAGTCATCGACGAACATAGGGAAGCAGATATGTGCTCCCTGCACCTGGCGGCCACAGTCACCTGTGATTCTTCCAATCTTGTGCTTTCCATCCATGGAGCTGCCTGCGAACCCTGAGACATGTGCTCCCAGGCTGTAGCCGATTAGGTGAACTTCACTTGGAGGAAACTTCACAGATTCCTGCAAGACAGGGCATGAGGGTTGAAGGAAGGGGTGGTATGAAGCCAAGAGCTTCCACAGGGCCTGCTTCTGCGGGGGCACCCATTCGTGCTTGGTGCTGTCCATGAATCAATGCTTTATACTGGGAAGCTGTCACCTCACTCACTGACTATCCTCTTTGGATACCCTGGTGACTGCTGCCTCCTGCCTGCCTGGCTGCAGCTGAAAAGTTCCATTGGTGCCCTGCGGAAACTAGGGGTCCCCTTGTCTTCGCCTTTTAAGGCTGTGATTACAGGGGGGATGCCACACTTGTGCAGGCGTGATGGCTCCTAAGTGTGTTTAGATTCCTCAGGATTGGTGTATCCAAACTTCTGTCTTCTCTGAGTCATAACGAATGAAGTATAGTTTTAGGCCACACTGGGGCATCCAAACTATGACCCACAGGGTTCAAGAGCATAGATATATTTATTTTGTGTGACATGGTGATAGGACATTGTCATTTACAAAGTTCATAATGGATAACTGTGTACATGAGTGTGTGTGTGTGTGTGTGTGTGTGTGTGTGTGTGTGTTTGTGTGTGTGTATGGTCAGAGATAACTTGAGGAAGTTGGTTCTCTCTTTCTGCCATGAGGGCCCATTGTTCTCTAATAATGTTTTATGATTTTGTAGTGGACTGCATTCAAGGCTCTCCATATGTCCTAGTCTGCTTTCTGTTGCTGTGATAAAACACTGACCAAAAGCAACTTGGGGAGGGAAGGGTTTCTTTTACTCTGCAGATTACAGTGCACCATGAGGGCAAGTCAGGGCAGGGACCTGGATGCAGGAACCAAATCAGAAACCATGGAGGAACTCTACTTTCTGGCTTGCTCTCCAAGCCTTGCTCAGCCCGCTTTCTTGTACAACTCCGGATCACCTGCCCAGGGATGGCACTGTCCACAGTGGGTTAGGCCTTCCACTTCAATCATTAATGATGATGATGATGTATAAAATGCCCCACAGGCTTATCTACTGGCCACTCTGACAGAGGCATTTTCTCAATTGAGTTCCTCTTCCCAGAGGACCCTAGCTTGTGTCAAGTTGACAGTACACTAACCTGCACACCATGGATGCACAAGATAGCCTAGGTAGGGATGGGACACTGTTGCTTCAGGATAATGGAGGGGTGTGCAAACAGGAGTGGTGGCTGGGGAGGAGGAAGAAGATGCTCAAGGGAGGCCTCATATCTGGCCTCAGACCAGCAAGCTGCGTGTCTCCTGGGGCAGCAGGGAGACCTCTCTTTGAGACCCGCTCACCTTCCTTGCTGTCAGAGAAGCAGGCCGGTGGACTTACCTCCAGCCATAGAAGAAGAGCGGCCACCTCTTGGCCTACAACACGGGTGTTGCGTACAGCGATAGCGTAATGTTGGTAAGCCAGGGAGATCCACTCCACCATTCCTACGTTCACGGGTCGAGACTTCAGCACGCCTACTAGCTTCCAGATCCATGTTTCTATCAAGCCATCCACCTGAGGGTGTGCCACATGTTGTCAGCCTAGCTGAGAGGGGAGAGGGAGCCCTGTTCCTGGGGTCCCTGAATACACAGTCTCAAGGACAACACTAGATCTTCCCTTCCAACAGAAAGGCCTGGGATTCCTCAACCTCGAGCTGAGGACGTTTGAGTTCAGGAGCTCTTGCCCGGCTGTCAGCCCATCTCTAGCTCCGCCCATGTGGTGTAACCCCATCTCCAGCCCCAGAGTTTGAAGACACAGTGTGCCCAGACCTTGCCACATTCTCCCCACCTGAGAATCACTGTCTGAATTTTCCCCCACGGTGGCACTTTCTGAGCCCTAGAACAACGGAAAAGTGTGTGAAAATGAGGTCCTAGAGTTGACTTCTGGAGGTCAGCTCCTCAGTGCCTGGGGTCCCACAAGGTCTGTCCTGCCCTCTTCTCCCTTTGGTGGGATGAACCTGAGACCTAGAGCCCTGCTTTGTGTGCCCCCTGCTTGGGATAACACATGGGGGTGCTCGCTGTGTTCCCAGAGCTGAGTGTTTGTTTGTACCTTGGAGAATAAGTAGAGGTCAGGGAGGAGGGAGGACAGGCAAGAAGGAGGTCACAGCCGAGTCTAGGGCATTCCAGACAGTCTTGTAGGCCTAAAGGGGGTATAAAGGTGTCTGAGGACTGGAGAGATTTAGGAGCGATCAAGGTCAAACTGCAGAAGGGGAAATGGTAGAGCTCCATCCTCATACCCCACTGCACCCCTATCCCACCCCCATTTAGCCTGCCATCCTTCCAGGGGAACTGAGCTATGCTTATCGAAGCAATGTTTATGGAGAGCCAAATATACCAGCTGAACTACTTTGCATGTACATTACTTGGTCCCTGTGCCTCCGTTTCTTCGTCAGCAGCATGGGAATGTTGCCTGGTTTCCAGTAGGGTTGTTAAGACCAAAGGAGTGGATGGTGGGTGTGGAATTCTTAGAACAACTCCAGGAGCCCAGGCAAGGTGCAGAGACCCACAGTCTTCCAAGCTCTTGTTGCTATCAGCATTAGTGTTTCTAGGTAAACATGTGGTGGTGGTGGTAGTGATTGTAGTTATGGTGATGGTGGTGGAGGAGGTGTTGGTGTTGGTGATGGTAGTGTGGTGATGGTGGAGGTGGTGGTGGAGGTAGTAGTAGTCCTGGAGGAGGTGGTGGAGGAGGAAGTGGTGGTGGTGGTGATGGTAGTGATGGTGGTGGTGGAGGAGGAGGCGGTGGTGGAGATGGTGGTGTTGGTGGAGGTATTGATGGTGGTGGTGGTGATGTTAGAGTCTGCAGAGGTTGCATACTCTGGAAAAACAAATTTTGAGACCAAAGAACACATTTTGCTATAGGAGCCTGCAGCTTTGGGTTGCATATCAAAACCAAATTTGTTCATTTGATCATTAATTCAGTGAACAAACATGTTGGAGCACCTAATGTGTGGTGAATATTGGCTTGCAATGTCAGATATGAATAGGACAGAACCTTTCCAGGCAGGAACTTAAAGCCTAGTGGGTCAGAACAACTAAATGAGAAAGCCCCACAGAAAGAAGAGCCAGAGGGTGCTGAGGTCTGGGAAGTCAGGGACCAATTGTCACATCCTGGGGAGGGCTGCACTGCGGCAGGAATGGCCTGAAGGAGATCCTGATTGAGACTGTACCTATTGGGAAAGAAAAGCTAACCCAGAGAAGAGAATGAGAAAGGGGACACTAGAAAGCGGGCAGAGGACGGGAGGTGACAAAAGAAGGTGACAAGGTGGACCGATGAGCCAGTTTATTCTCTAGAGCAGGTGAGGTGGGGGTTTCAAGAAGACTTTTTGTGTCTGGAGATATATCAGTGGAGTGATTGCCTAACAGTCTTGAAGCTCTAGGTCTGGTCCCTGGCATTGTATAAAATAAACAGAGTGTCACACAACTGTTGTTCCAGCCCTTGGAGGTGGAGCCAGGAGGAACAGGAGTTAAAGGTCACGCTTGGCTACATGATGAGGCCAGCTATTCAAAAAATAATTTTCAAGTAGATGACAAAAAATAAATTCTAATCCATTTGTTGTAGGAGGGGTGACTTCATTGGCAAAGCACCAGCCTTACCCAGAGCCCACATTTGATCCTGAGAACCCACTTAAAGTTTTTTGATGTGATGCTGGAGATGGGTCAAGGTTAAGAGTCTATACTCCCTTTGTAGAGGACCTGAGTTCTGCTCCCAGCACCCATGCCTGGCAGCACACAATTACCTGTAACTCCAGCTTCGGGGGATCCAGCACCCTCTTCTGGCCTTGGTGGGCACCTGCACTCTTATGCACATACACAGAGACAGCACATACACATAACATTTCCTCTGCCCTGCTTACTCCTGGAACTGAGAAAACTGGGTGATGCTTCACCAACACGGTATGTGAGGTTATCATTTACATTGTTAAAGTCCAGCGCACTAGGAAGAAAGACAACAAGCAGGAACACACAGAGAATACAGCACATCAGCACTTCCTACCGACCACCCGTGGATGATCATGACCAGCGGCTGGGAGGTGTTGAAGCCACACTCTTGCAGTGTTTCTGGGCTCTGGACTCGGAGCTGACAGCCTCGACGATCATTTTCATCTTTGAAGAGCAGGAATCTCGTCCCCATCTCCTGTGATGGTTTCCTTACTTCAGCAGCTCCATAGCTTTTCCCAAATGGCTCTGGAATTCAAAATCAGGATTGCAGGTTAAGCCTGGCATATGTCCCATCAACGCCGATCTTGGGATGGTCCACAGGTGGTTCTAAGCTCCAGCTGGTGATTACTGAGAGGTCCCGGGAACCAGCATGAACTCCATCTTTGAGGAACCCAAGGATATTCATGGTGGGATGGCCAGATGATAGTGGGGGACTTGGGAAGTCCCCACACAAGCGGAATGACCTGACCTTCCACCTGGTAAGTAGCCAGCAAGGCACTAGCTGCTTGGCTCCGAGGCTTGGGGAATGTAGGTGAGGCCGCTGGGACTGAGGCCGGCACACAGTGAGCTTCACCCCAGGTTACACTGGTAGGAAGAGGCAGTCAGGATTTGAACCCAGCTCTGTCTCCAGGGTAGAGAGCCAGCAGAGAGAGAGGATATCACTACATGTCACCCCTCCAAGCTCAGCCTGCTCTCACTGTAGACATAATATGCAACCTAAACCTTGAAGGGATTCACTGTAGAGCAATAGCGGAGAATCTCAAGGGTGACAGATTGTCCTTGAATGCTGAGAGTTACTGGAGCTGTGTGTGTTTGGGGAGTGGGGCCCTCCAGCTGAGGGAACAGCATGCAGGATGACTCAGAGGCATGAGAACTCGTGACCAAAGACACAGAGAGAAGCTGAGCAGGAGAGAGCATGGATGCCAAAGACCTCGGACTTAATGCAGTGGGGGCTGGGAGGACAGGTCAGTTGGTAATGTGCTTGCCTTGCAAACCTAATGACATATGAGTTCAGTCCTCAGCACCCACACATTGAACCGGGCCCTGCAATGTGTGTTCGGCATCCCAGGCTGTTCTGGTTTCATTTCCACTGCTGGGATAAAATGTCTCGATCAAAGGCAACTTAGGGAAGAAAGGTTTCTCTGATTTACAATTCCAGGGTCCAGTCCTCCGTTCGGGAAGTTAAGAGAGGACCTTGAATGCACGCATACTTAGCCCTCACTAGCATCCTCTAAGCCAGTCCAGGGCTGCAAACTGTCCACTTTCAGGCTAGATCTTCTCTCATCAATTAAGGTAATCAAGACAACCCCTCGCAGAAATGCCACAGGCCACCCTGACTGACCTAGGGAATAACCCTTCACTGAAACTCTTCCCAGGTTAGTCTAGGTCGTGTCAAGTTGACAGTTAAAATTAGTCATCACACAGGTTGTCCTCTGACCTCCACACATATGCTGTGGGGTGTGCTCATGCTCGCTAATACACAAAAGCCCCCCTACACACACACACACACACACACACACACACACACACACACACACACACACCATACGCATACATGGAAATGAAAACGAGGATGAAAACAGTAGGCATCTCTTGGGGTTGTTGAAGATTCAGGCGGCTTTGTCAAGAGCTGAGAACAACGCCTACCACAGACTTAGCACCTAGGTAAGGGTGGATTGTGGGACTAAGCTTGGATCCAGCCCTGGCATCTGGTCCTTCTCATCTGCGAATCTTGTCTTTCTGTGAAAATGTACCCCCGCTGGCCTCCCAGGGCCAGTTCCTTCCTGTGTATATTGACTCTGGATTTACATCTGAGAACGTGTCTTAGCCCAGGTACCCAGGGCCTGCCAGCTGAGCAGGATGGAAAAGAGTTTTCAGATAGAAGCCCAGGGAAAACAGAGCGATCGGCTCTCCCCTTCTGCCTTTGGATTCCTTCCCCGCGCATGCGTGTGAGGAGGGAGCCAGCTCTCAGCTAACACATGCTGCTCACTGCTGATGCTCCAGGCCTGGCTGGGTCTGAGCTGGAAGTAGGTGGGAAAACATATGGCTGCCCTAAGGCTTCAGTGAGGATGCTATGAGGGGGGCTGGGGAGGTGTCCAGAGAAGATGAAGCTGCGGTAGAGTCCAGGTTGAAGATTTTTCTAAACTCATGTCCAAGAGAAATGAAGGAAGAAAAGGGAGTCTGATGCGATTCGGTGGAGGATGTACAAGTCGGAGGGATGCTGAGGAGAGGGGCCTCGTGCTACTTTGCGCAGCTCCAGCACTTAGACGTGGGACCCGTGGGAGGGCATGGTACAGAGAAGATACTCGTCCTTACTTGAAGAGACTGGCACGGAGACAGAATAATGGTAGTAAACCAAGCAAGATAGATTAAGTGATTTTGTATTATATTTTATTCATTTGCATGTGTATTGTATGAATGTATGCATGTGCCTCGGTACATGTGTGGAGTTCAGAAGGCAACTTTTGGGATTTGGTTCTCTTCTTCCACCATGTGGGTCCCAAGAATTGACCTCAGGTCGCCAGGCTTGCCTGCAAGGGCCTTTACCCACTGAGCCGTCTCACAGGCCCCAAGACAGATTGTTAAGGAAACATCTTAAAACTTACACTGTGAGGTCAGGTTGCTGGGAGGGGCCTCAGATCATGTAACATTTGGGGCATTTCCTTTCAGTCCCCCTCCACCCGAGACATTTGGCCAACACACTAAAAAAAGATTTATTGTATTTGTATTTATATGCATGTGTGTGAGACTGTCACATGAAGGCACGCATCCATAGAGCCAAGGGCATCAGATTCCCTGGAGCTAGAGTTACAGACAGTTGAGAGCCACCCAACATGGGTTTTGGGAGACAGAATTCAAGATCTTTATAAGAGCAGTGTGTGCTCTTAACCACCGACCCATTTCTCCAGTCTCTCTATAGGTATCTATTTGGCCTTTTTCTGAGTTCAGATATGAATGGTTTTTATATGCTTCTTTTCCTGCCATGGCAGTTTTTCACAGCAGTAAAAATTCTTTACAAACATGTTTTTGAAAGGTGGTATGATTTATCTGTTTCATTTATATTTAGTTTGTTGCCAGATTTTTTTTCTGTATTTAGAACAATTCTTCAGTGGCCATCTTTATGTTTAAATCTTTGCCAAAATCTATGTGATCTCCAGTAGATATTCCTAAGAGCAGTCTTGTTAGTCTTGTTTATAGCTCTGTGTAAGTTCATACACACTCACCGTGTTTTCAGCATCTTGGTATTCCCAGGACTAGGAATCAAACCTGGGGCCTCACACATGTTGGCAAGCACTCTGCTGCTGACCTGCATTCACAGCTCATGTTTTCAGCATTTTTTCTTGTGTGGGACGTTCATGTGTATGTCTGTGTGTTTGTTGGCATGGGTGTGGGTGCTTATGTGTGTGTGTGTGTACACATGAGGTCAGAAGAAGACATTAGATTCCATGAAGCTTGAATTACAGATAGTTATGAATAGCCTGTTTTTGGTGCTGAGAACTAAACTCAGGGCCTCTACAAGAGCAGCAAATGCTCTTAATCACTGAGTCATCTCTTCAGTCTCTCACGTCTTAAGAGACAAGGACTCCAGTGATATGAAGCCAGATGGTACTGTGGTTTGGAGAGGCAATATTACCTGAAGTAAATAGTCAGCTACTTCAGGAGAATCTACTTCTCTTTCTTGGGAAAGCAGGTGGTGGGGGAGTAGGAGACCTTGGGTTGTGGTCTATCAAGTTCCCGAGGATGCCAAACACCTTCTCCTTTAGACAAAAGGATTTTTGGATATTATTCCTTGCCGCGATTTCTGCATTCTCAAGCCAGCTCTGTGTTAGAAGATCCTTGGAAATCCATACCAGAACAAATTACTTCCTCTTCTCTTGGGCAAAGACATCATCAGGTGGGTGACTTCGGGCAACTGAGCTAGGCCATCTGGCCTAGGAGAAAGCCAGTTGAAGGCTCTGCTTGGCCTTACTTCCTCTGCCTGCAATGCCTGTGCAGGGTGTTTCTGCTTGGCTGAGCGCATGCCAGGTGCTTGCCAGGTACTGGGTGAAGTTAATGAAGCAAGTGCAGGAGATGGAGGCCTCGGGTACTAATGTACCCCTGCAGAGCTGTTTGCAAAACATCTCTACAAATTCATTATTTAATTGTGCTTGAGTGTGTATACGTGCGAGTGTGTGTGTGTCTGTGTGTGTGCTTACCACACTCTTGTTCTATAAACACGTAGTGTTGAAAATATTCCCAGACCTGGCAGGAGTCCTCTGGAAGACCATAGTTTCTCAGTGTCCCTGAAAATTCTCCAACCACATCCTCTGCCCAGGATGGAACATTCCCACGAAATAAATGTAGCTGCCACTCTGTGGCTGCTGGCATCAAGCCAATGGTTTAAAGTTGGGCCATGTTGACTTTGGAATTCCTTGTGTGGGGCTTAGGCATTGTAGCTCAGTTGGTAGAGTCCTTGCCTAGCCCTCACAAAGCCCTGGGTTCATTCTTAGCACTGCATAAGCCCCATGTGGTGGTACAAACTGTCATCCTAGCCATTGGAAGTGGGAGGCAGGAGGATTAGATACTCAAGACCATCCTTAGCTACACAGGGAGTTTGAGGCCAGCCTGGGCTACATGAAACCCTGTCTCACAAAGGGGGAGATGGCTGAAGAGATAGTTCAGAGGTTAAGATTGCAAACTGCTCTTGTAGAGGATCTGAATTGGGTTCCTAGCATCCACTTCAGGTGACTCACAACTACCTAGAACTTCAGCTTCAGGAGATCTGACGCCTCTGACCTCCTTGGGCAACAGTACTCAAGCGCAATATGCCCACGCAGGGACACTCCTGTATACATAATTAAAATAATAAAAATAAATATTTTTTAAAAGCTCATGAATTGGGAATGCTATTCTTAGGCTTCTGGCTTCTTTTTCCTATCTGGTCCTGTAGGAATCCATTAGGGATCCTCATCTGAGCCTAGCTTGTTGATGCACGGTGGGGCACAGTGCTGGAGAATATCAGGGCCCGGTGCTCTGTAGCCAAATTGCCTGGCTTGAGTCCCAGTTCTGCTGCTAAGGCTCCGTGGCCTTAACCTCTCAGTCTCCTCTGTAATAACAGACTAACCGAAACACCCACAGTAGGATTATTGTAAGTCAGAGGTGAAAACACATTGTTTCCCATGGATGTCCAACCTTTTGGCTCCTCTGGGCCACACTGGATGAAAAAGAATCATCTTGGGCCACACAGTAGTATCCAGCCCGTGGGT